CACTGTGGGTAGTGAGGGCTTGGAAATCTTAACCTTCCCGGGGCATACTTGATAGCAAGAGAGACAGAGGAAGGCAGCGAGCCTGATGTGCTTGTGTGAATGAATGGTAGAAGGTAGGGTGGGGGTCTAAACAAAGGGAAGTACAGAGGTAAGGGCCAAAATGGTTAGGATATTGTGGTACATGGTGTAAAGAAAAAAATAATCCATGAGGGTTCTTCTCTGTTAAAGGTTCTCGGCAGTCTGTTCAAAAAATAGCATTTCTTGCGAAAAATATGTTTGAGTGGAACTTCTTGCTAATGGAAGACGACTTGAATGACGAGTTTGTGTGCATGATATGGTGATCCCTGTCTGTGATGTTCTAAACTGGTGGAATTAAGGAATAAAGGCCGTCTGAACATTTGCTGTGTAAATTGAGAGCGATTAGCGTGTGGCCAACAATGTTTCATCTTCAGAAAGAAAAAAAAAGAATATCTGTAGAACGGAAAACCCTATTCATTAAAGAAAGGCGGCGTAAACGCGATTGATCTCGGTCAAGACAGGAAAATGAGGATTGTACAGCTCCTGGCGAGATATGAAATGAATACTACAAAGTTTGCCGACTAGATGGATAGCGCCTTGGATTGAGCAATCGAAGAGCCGAGTTCGAATTTCACTCGATTCAGTTACTTGCTCATAAACTTTAGTATAAGTATGAAATATAAATAAATATAAGAATCTATATCTACCTCCGCCCGTTTGACTGGTCCTTTAGTCGTGGTTGGGAACTCGCCCGGGAGAAGGTAAACACAGAATGGTAAACACAGAAATCAAGCCAGCTTTAGAGCGTTGGGTTCTGTTAGATTATCTTGGCCAAAATAAGCATATATATATATATATATATATATATATATATATATATATATATATATGCGTTCAAAGTAAGGTCTAGAGTGAACGATTCCCAATAGATATTCATCGCAAGGGACACATTTTTGAGTCCAAGTGTTTATAATGGCTAAAGAAATTCGTTGTTTGTTATTGCAAGGTCAGAAGCAATGATATAATAAGGATTATTCAGTGAAAAAATAAGTGTGTGTGTCTTTATTTTTCAAATGAAAAAAAAAACAAAAAAACCTTCAACTAATTGGTAAAAACTTATTTAAATAAAAAAAAAGAAAGAATCAAATCGCAACGATGTTGATAGAACTTTCCGATATTCTGCATATCTGTGAAGATTCTTTTGCGGTTATCGCAGATTGTGTATATAAAATTTATTCCTTGATATTTTTTTTTCGTTTTTAAACAAATCCATCTAAATAACAACAGCATTATATATAGACACAGCTCTGTGTGTGTGTCCGTATATATATATATATATATATATATATATATATATATATATATATATATATATATATATATATATCAGT